CTTTCATATTGTTTCATATTGTTTCATATTGTTTCATATTGTTTCATATTGTTTCATATTGTTTCATATTGTTTCATATTGTTTCATATTGTTTCATATTGTTTCATATTGTTTCATATTGTTTCATATTGTTTCATATTGTTTCATATTGTTTCACATTGTTTCACATTGTTTCACATTGTTTCATATTGTTTCATTTTGTTTCATATTGTTTCATATTGTTTCATATTGTTTCATATTGTTTCATACTGTTTCATATTGTTTCATATTGTTTCATATTGTTTCATATTGTTTCATATCGTTTCATATCGTTTCATATCGTTTCATGTTGTTTCATGTTGTTTCATGTTGTTTCATGTTGTTTCATGTTGTTTCATGTTGTTTCATGTTGTTTCATGTTGTTTCATAGTGTTTCATAGTGTTTCATATTGTTTCATATTGTTTCATATTGCTTCATATTGTTTCGTATTGTTTCATATTGTTTCATATTGTTTCATATTGTTTCATATTGTTTCATATTGTTTCATATTGTTTCATATTGTTTCATATTGTTTCATATTGTTTCATATTGTTTCATATTGTTTCATATTGTTTCATATTGTTTCATATTGTTTCATATCTCGATATATTTCATATTCCACCCTTTTCACAATTTCGTGATTGAATCGTCGCATATCGCAGAGGACTCAGGCTGTAGCTCTCAGCTGCGCGAGGACTCGGTGCCTCGTCGTCGCCTCGCAGGTATGTTTCTCAAATCGGAAATAGGAATGTGGAATTTCTCAAATTGTGTTTCAATAACGGTTTTCAATAACAGTTAACACGTTTCAAAACGTGAAAACATTGTGGAAAAACAGCACCCCTGCCTGGAAAAGACCCACAAGATTCAATTTTCTCACATCTTTGTAGTTTGTGTCCACTTTAAAAAAAAAACAGAGCAAGCGGAGGAGAACGAAAGGTGTTGCAATCGGAGGAGAACTTGGATGTTGCAATAAGTTGCATGTTGATGAACAGGCAATGAAAATGACGATCCGGAAAGTGATCATGATGATACTGGGGACAATGCTGATGATAGTGATGATGATGGTGATAAGGAGGGTGATGAGGGCTACGATATTTACAAAATAGTGCCCTAAAAAAAGGAAACCGTGCAGGGCACCGACAAGCCATAAAGAATTCTTGAAGCCAGGCAGCCACAAGCCTCCCACTAAGAAATCGACATCGAGAATCATGTCATAATTATTTCATATAACTATTTCATACTATTTCATACTTGATCAAGTTATTTGTGCAGTTCCCTGTCGTTCCCAAAAGGAAACGTTGGCCTGCTGAGCGCGTCCCACTTGGTCGTTTCACCTGAGAACGCGCGCCTTTCACTCATTGATCATAGGCGAAGGATGCTCAGTCATCCCAAATGAAATGAAGCGATTGAAACTGAGAGAAACGGGAAACAAGGAGATACACGGAGTAAGATAAAATAAGGTAAATATGTTAAATATGGAAGAAAAAGTACAGAAAAGCAGAAAGTTGAAAAGCTAAGCTGCTGAAAAATTGCCATATTATCCTTAAAAGCGGAGTTAAGGCCACCGCTGAGTCTTTGTAGTTTTTCTTCCGTGCCTGACACTGTGCGAATCGCCACATTTAACGGATATGGAGATAGTGGAGATAGTGGATGACAGTGGTACAAGTCAATACCATACATTGCCAGCATGGCACTGCATATAGAACACTTATGCAGATGCATATAGATAATATATATATATATACTAGATATATATAATATATATATATTATTTTATATATGTATATATATATTATCAAAGGAAGTTTGGGGGAGAAACTTCCGTGTTACGGACTTTTAGAAAGTCAGAGAAAGAGTTAGTCAAAGAACCTTAGAATGTAAGGGAAAGAGTTAGTCAAAGAAAGAGTTAGTGAGGGAAAGAGTTAGTTAGGGAACGGGTTAATTGTAACTTTGACTGTCAGGGAAAGAGTTAGTCAAAGGAAGAGTTAGTGAGGGAAAGAGCTAGTTAGGGAAAGAGTTAATTGTAACTTTTAGACTGTCAGGGAAAGAGCTAGTCAAAGGAAGAGTTAGTGAGGGAAAGAGTTAGTTAGGGACAGAGTTAATTGTAACTTTTAGAATGTCAGGGAAAGAGTTAGTCAAAGAAAGAGTTAGAATGGCATTGCAAGTGGTGCTGGTGGAGGAGTTGCCGATGGAGTTTTGAAGGAAGTCTCGCACGAAATGCGTTTTTGAGAGA